TGTTCAGTAGGAGGAATGCAGCAGGTTAGAGCTGCAGCACAAATTTTGACTACTTCTGGAGCTGATTTGTGTGTGTGCACAGCAGGAGGATTTTTATGTTGCAAATTCCTGCAGTCTTTAGATATAAACCAGTATTTGTGTGTCAACAAAACATCACAGATAAAAGCAGAGCTGAGCATTTAAATACCCAATGCCTTGAGACTCACCCCTGCTGCTGCTTGGTGGGATTTATGGAAAGTAAAGTTGTTTGCTGGGCAGTCAATATTAAACTGTGATTATCTTAGCTACAGACAGTCCTTGAATATTACTGAGATTCAGCCAAAGCTTTTCCTAACAAACTCAGTACTGTCGTTGGGTGTCACTAGTCCCTCGTGTCAGCCCAAACTTGTGTTCACTTTTATATAATCAGGTGTTTGGCTGTTGGGAGGTGCAGGTTGCCTCAGCCCATAACCTTGGTGATGTGTGGTTCTTTCCTGTGAGCTCAGCCCCTGTGCAGCAGAACTGCTCTGAGCCTGGGGACAGAGTCACACCTTGCACACAGGTGCATGTCAAGGTGCAGCAAGCTCAGGAGGTTTCAGAAGGGAGTAGAGGTCCCTAGGTCAGAGCTGGGGATAACATCCCCACGTTTGAGTCCTGTTTCTGAAAGCAGAACCCCTGCCAAGCTGCTCGCAGCAGGAGCTGCCCAGGGTGGCCTGTGGGAGGCTGAGGTGTGCAGGGGACATTCAGCTTCTCCTGAGCACACTGTTCCACTCTGAACCTCAGGCACTTGTTCCTGGGGTCAGGGGATCCTCCTCCCCTCACCGTTACCTGTCTCTTTTTCACCCAAGTGACTAATTCTTTTGTCTGTCTCTCCTAGATCTCAGACCTGATACGACAAAGCACAAAGGAGTCCCCAGTCTGGGAGTTCCTCAGCTTGGGGTATGCACTCATGCTCTGCCCCTTTGTCGTTGTCCTAGGAGGGATGTTTTTCCTGGCCACAGCCCTCTTCTTCCTCAGTGACCGAGCCAAAGCTGAACAGTGAGTAGCCTGGCAATGGCAAGTGGGGAGGTACTGCAGCCTGGCTGCTCTCTTGAATGTTGTGCTTGTACTCTTGCCTCAGTCCTTCCAGGTAAAAGATGTTGGGTTGTGTGTTAGGAGCTCAGCAGAGTGCATGAGGCTGCACGAAGCACAGGGGCTTGGGTCCTGCTGGCTGGGCATCCTTCACACGCTTCTGCTCTGGTGGAGCTCAGCTGCTGGCCACAGGGCCTGGAGGGGAGCCTGATGTGTGAGCTCACAGGCCCCCTGCCCCCTGGCATGAGCATGCCACGGCCCAGGCCCTCCGTGGAGAGGGGCTGCTGCCTGCTGGAGCCCGTGGGCTGCTAGGTGAAGAGCAAGAGAGACCTCACAGAGCTTGGTGGTCAACACTGCGCCCACAGTCCCACCTCAGCCCCTCGTGCCCTGCTCACCACCCCCACCCAGAGGAGCTTCAGCCAAGGAGGAGGAGAGCTGTGTGTGGGGACAGAGGTGCTGGAGGGTCGCTGGCACAGAGAGAGTCTTTCCCAGTCCCTTGTTGCAGCTTGTAAAAAAAAAGCTCCTGTTTTTCAGTAAAGACACCGATTCGGAGCACCTCACGGTTGGCACCTACAGTAATTCAGAAGACCCTGCCACATGACATACAAACTTCTGGGTTAGTCTCTTTCTCATCATTGTCAAAAAATAAGAGTATCTCTGTATCATGTCGTGCTGCCTGTGTGGGTAGGTGGCTGGTCTGGTGTTGACTATGAGTTGGCTTTGCCTTTCTCCCACTGGGAGAAGGGGACACGTGGACACAGTGCAGATGGTCACAGCCTCTTGTGACCCTGCAGAGAGAGCAGAGTGACCTTCTTGTGTGTTCAGAAGGACACTGGCCTGTCACTAGACACAGTACAACTAGAAGAAAACAAGATGTTGGGAGGTTGACATGAGTATGTGACCAGTTTGGGTGGTGCTTTCTGGCTCACACGATCCTATCAGATGGATGCAAGATTTGGAGGCAATGCCACAGAGGGTGCTGTGGACCTCTAAGAGCAGTTCCACCTTCCTTTTGCTAAGAGATACCAGAGGCAGGAAGAGTTTTCTGTCTCCTGATGCCTTTAGAGAGACACATTCCCCCTGTAATGAGATGTTTAAACACTGCATAAAACCCAAGACTTCATCATGTACCCTGTAAGGAGGTCAAGTCCTGCACAGCTGAACTTCAGTGTGGCTTTGGAGATGTGACATGACTCATGTGTGGCTGGTTTCTTATCTGCATTTAAATTGCCAGAAGTGAAATTGGAGTTTAGATGTTGGGAAGAACTTCTGAAGAGAAAAAAGAGGTAAATGCTAGAGCAGGTTGGTTGGAGAAGACATAAAAGCTTTCCTGTGTTTCTGAAGGCCTCCCTGGCCCAGTGTTGAGGCAGGGAGGTGGGAATGGTTCTCTGGCTGCCTTCCAGCCCTCTTGTGTTACTGGACATGTGAGCTTAGGCAGCAATCACCTGGGGACATGGCAACATGGACCTAAGTTCCTGGGGGCTCAGGGTGGGTTTATTTTTTGCTGCAAGCAGCCAAAGGTTCTATTTGGTGACAGGGCAAGGATAAAGCAGGGCAGATGAAATCCCCCTCGTGTAGGTGGAACATTAGCCCTTGCTCAGGACCCCCCTGTTTGTAGGAAACCATCAGTGGTAGTCCTCACTGTGTTCAGAGGGGAGAGCACTCCTTCCTCTTCCTCACAGTTAGAGTGGAGCTGCCTGCCCCTTGGCACCACGTGTGCTGCCAGCGTGGCAGGACAGCACCTCAGGTGGGGAGGGAGAACCCCAGGTCACTCCTTGGCAGCATGCCTAGCCCCACCTGGACCTTCCCCCTGGGCAATGCTCCCTGGTACCCAGCAGGAACCACAGCTCCAGTGGAGCTCCCAAGGCACAGCAGCTCCCAGGCTGGTCACTAACTGGGTGACTCTCCTTGGGTGCCAGCACTGCTGGGTCTCACAGGGTTGTTGTTTCACAGTGCCCCAGAACACCAGCTCTGCAGTAGTGTTGCTGTGGGAGATCACATCCCACAGCTCTGCTTCCTCCTGCCTCTGGCTGCAGCTGACTGCCCTGAGAGCTGTGGTGCTCTCTCTGCATCCAGATCACACCAGCTTCCCAGCCAGTCACCCATCCTCTTCTAGAAGAACTTACTGAGGCCTCAGACCTGGTTCTGTTTCTCTCTCTCTCTCTTTCAGCATCCCTCTCTTTCCTGGTCTGTCTGGTTCACGTTTGTTTATGAGTTTTGTGTTAATTAGGAGCAGATCTTATGTGTTACAAACTGGCTCAGACACAGAGGGGGAACAGTTGTCATAAATAATGGTTAACAAAACAATTTCTCCCAAATCATAGAATCACAGAATCATTAAGGCTGGAGAAGACCTCTAAGATCATCAAGTCCAACCATTAACCCAGTACTCCCATGACCACTAAACCATGTCACCAATGCCACATCTCCATGTTTTTTGAACCTCTCCAGGGCTGGGGACTCCCTGGGCAGCCTGGGCCAAGGCCTCACTGCTCTCTTGGAGAAGAAATCCTTCCTAAGATCCAATTGAAACTTGCCCTGGTACAACTTCAGCCCATTGCCTCTTGTCCTATCATTGGTTGCCTGGGAGAAGAGACCAACCCCACCTCACTCCAACCTCTTTTGAGGGAGTTGTAGAGAGCCAGAAGGTCTCCCCTGAGCCTCCTCTTCTCCAGACTGAACCCCCCCAGGTCCCTCAGCAGCTCCTCACAATCATGTTCCCCATGGACCATGCTCACCAGCCCTGTTGCCCTTCTCTGGACCTGCTCCAGCCCCTCAGTGGCTCCCAGGACACTCTGGGGGTGCCCCCTCCCATGGTAACAACACCCTGGCATGCCCAGGCAGACCCCTGGAGGGTGCAGGGTGGTTCATGGCACTGCCCCCTCGCTGGCCAGGGCTCTGAGCAGGCTGGCAGCTCTGGAGCAAGGCTCCTCTCCCTGCCAGGGCAGGGGCTCTGCTGTCCCCTGGCTCCTGTCTGCCATTGCTGACAGAAGGACTTAGGGCAGGCTTTGTGTGTGCTTGCCCAGGAGAGAAGACAGAACATTTTGCTCTCAGCAGCCCCAAGGTGCAGCTACCTGAGAGGCCACCTGCCCTTGGCATCCCCCACCTTTGGCAGGGCTAGCTGGGTGCCTGCCCAGCCCTCCCTCCCACCCCACCCAGCACTTGCTGGGGACAGGAGAGTTTCTTTTTTGAGATGCCTCCTTCTCCCTCTGCAGCCAGTCCTGCTGCTCAGCCTGCAGGACTTGGAAACCTGCTCTGCCAGAAGAAATCAATTAACCTGCAGGAGCCACACAGGCCAGAGATGAAAGCCATTCATCCCCAGGAGGGTGGGGGCACCCTGGGCAGATGGCACAGACCTCTCTAATGAACTGAGAGGGAAGCAGAGGAGTGGGATGCTGCTCTCTGCAGCTCTGCCTGTGGAGATGGAGCCTTCCCTGCTTTCATTCCCATGCTCCTGTGAAAAGCAGCACAGGGGTTTATTGCTAGGAGGTTTTTTTTGTTTGTTTGTTCCTGTGTGTGATGGTCTCTGGGCTTTTGCTTGGAGATCATTTCTTCTTCCAGGCAGGACAGGGAATCAGGAGAGCAACCTTTCTTTCCTGTAAAGCTTCCTCCAGTTTCCCCCACACTTCCTTTCCAAAACAGAATTTCCAAGCTTTCAGTGCCTCATGATGGGGTTGGGTTTTTTTTTTCCACACTGCTTTTATCATTGCCACAATTCCTGGCATATTTTCTAGGTTACTTTTTTAGCACAGGAACCCCAGTCAGTAAGGCTGCCCCTCACACCAAAACACTCAGGAGAAAAATGGCTTTATATGGCAATTTTTTTAAAAAAAAACAAATATCACAATTCTTTTATAACTCTTTTCATACTGCTTCAGAAGCCTGACAGCTTAAAGAGGATTTTAGTAAATTTAGGAGTAGCAGAGAACACAATACAGTACATCACATCACTCTGTAGTATAATCCCATCATTTCTGGTGCAATTTTTATAACATAAATTTAATTCCACCCGTCCAAAGTGATAAAAGAGGGAAGAAGGTTAAGAATGGTTTCTCTGAGAGCTCTTATGCACTAGCAATAAGAAATGCTTCAGCCCTTTTGTTA